ATTTCACAATCCATCTGGTCCATAAACCATAGAACCACATTGCACTTTCCGAATTCATACACAAGATCAGAACCTCACATCTATACTCAGAATAAGCCCGAACCAGCTGTAATAACCCATACCTGCAACCTCAGGTGCAATCATATGATATACTATATAACCCAAACACTCGAAACGATAACTTCTATTCACAGCAGTTGCCCACAACACCCGAATACCGGTAGAAAACCTCTTATCAACTAAGGCTTTATTCTAACACTTTCATATACTGCCAACGATAAATGAAACACACAATAAACCGTAACCATTTCTCAGATCAACCATTCATGAAGCCACTTCCCCTTTGACTAATACCACAACAGATTCCGAGCCGAACCTCGATATTATCCTTCCAACAAGCTGAAATCAAATCCGTTCGTATTCATTAGTGACCCCAACGATCACCTCGAATACAACACACCACTCTTGTGATATGACACCTCAATACAGGTCTAAGCCACAACTTGCATAATATGCGCACCAATAAGAAACGGTCTGAACATACTCAAATCATGAAAAATGACTCAAACGAAAGAGCTGTACCTCAAGCTCATCAGTACCATCACAACACAAGGCTGAGATCCCGTCTCACATCATAGAAATAGAACACCTGAATCTACCCCGAAAGGTCATATCTCCACATGGCCTCGCTACAATGCGCGCTCCTATCCCAAACACTGTCACACATGAAACACCTCAAGTCACTATGCTCAAAATCGACAACCACGCACAATTTGATGTCTGAAACCAAAGCAATTCACTACACCCACGATGAAACAAATAACATACGCCATGCAACCCGATAGGTCATAATCAATACTCCATTTACCGAGCAACACCCAATTACTCTTCCCGCTCGACTTTCACTATGAAACCCCAATAGGACCGCACCATATGTGCCCATAACCAACAAATCATAACGTCTCATAACACCGAAAAGCAACTCATAGATCTCCCCAGATCACTAACAAGCTCACTAACGATCGAATCGACCTATCCCTCAACAATACAATTCTGGGCCAACCAAGCCGACTCAAGCTAGAACACGCATCCACATTGACCTGCCAACAAACTCATCATCAAGGAATCCTGAAGCTGCTCCTTCCACTACTACAGCTCCTACCAGAGCCACACGATACGGTGCCAGGCACCAAATCCATACCGAAATCCATAACCTCGCCTGGTGACATGCCCGGCCACAAGATATGCATCCGAAAAGTCCCTCAACACCGGAACTGAATCAATGGTAGAAACCTTTGCACTGACATCCATCACGAAAGCGCAATTAAGAAAAGCAACCCTTCCCAGCCGTCCGCTGGTCTTTGAAATATAAACCACTCTGCTAGAACATAATCTGACGCACCTCGCCACTCAACCCATGGCGTTTCTGGCATAGCCCATAGCGCAATAGTCCTGAATAACCCAACACTGAGACAACCAGTCTAAACCTCAATATCATATCCAAAATCTAACTTACCAAGCAAAGAAAGATCCACTCGGGCCTCCAAATCCCCGGTAGTTGCTAAACAGTGCCGACACACACGATCTACAACCACATCATAGCCTGTATATGAGAACTTTCGTCTCCACACCCACACGGCACATGAATCATCATATCCGATCCCAATGTCGCCGTCCGAACACGTGCACACCTTTAATACCCAATCATTCCACGATAAATACTCTAAAATTCCCTGTGCCACCAAACAAACTCAGATATCAGCAGTCGATCCAACAAGAAAGTGCCGTAATACTACCGAAGTATCATCAGTTTAATCACACTACCCTTTTTTTTTATGAACTTCCAATTACTCGACAAATACTCTCGTCAAATCACTTCCAATTAGCAGTACCATTTCCTTGATTACCTGAGGTTACCTGTTGCCTAAGAATTTTTATGAACTTCTTTTCAAAATTGAACTGAAACTCATCTAGCTAAGAACTTCCACTGATCCCATTTGGAAGAAAATCATTACACATCCCATGCTTCGCATGCCCATAGAAAATATATACATCTCCAAACCACGGTAAAACCCAACAAGAACTCTCTCCCAATTCCATTTGCACAAGCTAAGCTACCAAGACTAAATCCTCCTATCCAAACCAAGCTAAGCAAGCTGTCAGAACTCAAGAGCTTTGCTGCAAAATACCTGTAAGAGCTCATTACCTCAAACACATACAAAGAAATTTAATCATGTCCTACCGTACCGATTCGGTCTACTATCAAGCTATTCCATCTATCTAATTTCCCTCCTGGTTCATCATCCACTTGATATTCCCTCTTGCTGTGGCACCACAATGCCTCAACCTAGGCTTACTACACGAGACCCAAGCATAAGACCACACTGCCTAAGACCCATGAGCCACTAAATACTCTCTCAAATATTCCCAGATACACCACATTCCAGAATACTTTTCTCTGAAGAACTTCCTGTGAATTCTGAATCCGTTACCTTTACTTTCCAGATACTGATACATAGAATCCCATAATTAACATAAAAATACCACAAGTCTTGACCTTTTCCAATGAAAACACAGTCTCTAACCATACACACAACCTTAAGATACCCGATTGTTCCCTGTATAATCTTGAACTCATTAGAACCATTCCCGAAAGTCATTCACTCTTATTCAAACTACAATTTATCTGGCCTAACGAACAGAACCACTCGTGCCTTATTGGCACTCCGATACCGCAAAATGAGATCCTCATCCCAATACAACCAAGCAACTTCCTGCTCTATGCACCGAGCATTCTTTACCAACAACAACTCTAGACATTCCGGGATTCTCATTCCCTATGGAACATAATATAACCTTTGCCAAAATTTTCTTTTACCCTAGCCATCCTCAGCTCAGTTTCCGCAACCAGAACTAATTCGCCAGCATGCCTCAACCGGAACCAACATAGCACATAACCGTACAATTAGCTAGTCATAGCAAACTCCCCAACTTGGCTCGAAGCCATAGATCAAAACACTCCCAACAACTCATAACGCACACACTCCATTGCTGCCTTAATACCATAGTGAGACTAAACTCAATCCTTCATAAGCTTGTGAAAACACAAATCATCTAGAAATCTTCTACAAATCTCGCATTCACTCACACAACAGTTAAGCCCACGCTCTTAAGCAACCCGAAATCTCAAATTTCAACACGTACTCTTCAATTACACATAAGAACTTCTAACATACACATAAGGATCATACTACTTAAGAACACCCCGCAGGAGATAACCCACCTGCTTCGCCTCGATTTAACATTTCTGCATACCTTCCACCGTCATACACGTTACACAGTTGTTTAATCTTCCTGGGTCCGAACTCATACCGCCACATGAAATGCACTTCACTCCCCAACTAAGAGACACGAAACGATTCTTCACGCGCCCAAAATTCGGGCTACACATCAATCACAATAGGAATCGAACACTTAACAGTTCATCTATTATCCAGCAGCCTTCTTCGTCACTACCAAGTTACATAGATACATCTTGCAGTGCTAACATACTCATCACATGGCTATCCAGCCGTCACTTCCACTAATAGGGACAATACCGAACATATAAGTTCAAAACACTTACTCACACGATCAGCACTTCAGTACTCAAGCCATAGGCAAAGATCCGGCCTCAAGTCCTCCAGACTGGCCCAACATAAACTCACGGAGATTACATCTCGCCCCTTGATCGGGGAATCACAAACCATCAAGACACATATAATACTGAGCGCTCGCGTGCGCATACAGACGCGTGGAAGGAATTTCAAGAGATACGTTCAAGCTGAATCAAAGCGCACGTTAGATCAAGATGTGAAG